TTCTTTTGGTCCCACTCGAACTCCTCCACCTCGGGTTGCTCCATCAGGAACTTCTTCACTTCATACCCTTTGGAGCCATCCTGGCAGAAAAACCTGAGCTCGATGTGTTCTTGCATCATCTCTAACCTGTACTGTCCACAGGATCTTGTTTGGATCGATGACGTAAGGGGTAGCCTCCAGGTGCCCTGCAGTCGAGGTTTCCCATCAGGGCTCGATTCACGGTGTAGGCTCAAACGGACCTGATTGCATCAGGGATTTGTGGCGGAATGCAAGCTCCTCGGTTTCTGCCTGCAACCTGTTTCACAACGCCCAGCGCGAAACGTGTCATCAGCTCATACCTTATCTCTTTCCCTCCACTCCCCTGTCTTAGGATCCTAGAAAATCCACCTCTGTTCAGACCAGCACGGCAGCGGCAGCCTTGATCAGCTTGGAACCTTGATCTTATCCAACGTGGCGAACATCATGGCAGGTTTTCCCTTCTTGGATGCCTGAACGCTCCTCATCAACGGGGCAACTCCCGAGAACCACGGCGCTGTTTGACCTGCATGTACTCCATCGGATTCTTGGGATCAAACTGAACTTTTGGTGGCTCGGGCGGTTTCCAGGGTTCGCCGGGACCCTTCGTGTCGTCAGATCGTGTGGCCGACCACGATGATCGAGCTCACCTCTGCCTCGCGCTCTAATCTCTCCCAATCCTCCTTGGTCATCTTGTTCCATGGCTTCCGCTCCTTCTTCTCCTCTTCCTTCTTCTCCTCCGCCTTCTCTGCAGCCATTGCAGGTCGTCAGCGTTGCCCTTCGCAACATGGAGCGGGTACCCTTCTTGACTTTCTTCGCCTGCATATGGGGCGTCAGCATTCCTCCGCTGCCAACCGCCCGCCCTATCACCAACCTTCTTCTTGGCTTCACATGGAAGTAGAGAGCATGCAATGACCAGCAGCAGCAGTGTCGTGCTGATCCACAACCTGACGCAAGTAAAGGTCATGCTGGAAACTGACTGGTGATTTCCCTCATCATTCTGTTTCTGGCCATCTTTGACATGATTAGCATCTCCGACATTATTGACATCATTGACATCGTCGACAACATCGGAATGGGTCGTTCCTCTGCTTCTCGCTACTCTTGGATGCTGCAGACAACGATCCAGCACTGACCGAATGGTTATCCGGCACGGCAAGGATAGCCTTCCATTCTCAACATCCTATCAATGTCCTCGTAATTACTTTCGCGAATTTCGACACCATGGCCGAAACAAAGATACTGCAGGCCTCGACCATGTGTATACCCTCCCCCGTTTCATTCCCACATTCGATTGTACACCCCTTGTTCTCCTCCATCTCCCTGAGCTCAATCCTGTCTAAGAACAAGGATCGTTCGCCATACACTTTGCCTGCTTTGCCTCCATTTCCTCGTCCCCTCCTCCTTACCCTCCCGCTCATCCTCGTCCCTCCCACCATCACTTGCCTGGTCCTTGCCATGTCGATCTGACCTGGGATCTAGATCGTTCTTTCACAAAACTGTACCACCCCATTATAATTATTTGTACCCCTGTCTTTCACTGATTATTTTGTGATATAGTACCCGGTAGAATAAGTGCCCCACCCATAACTGCCATGTCACCAACAAATCCAAAGTGCCAGAAAAATTTGTTCACGCTGAATTTCTTTGTAGATCGTTGAGGGATGAGAATAACGAAGAAACTCTGAGCAGCGAGCTACTGATCCTTTCCTTCGCTCCTTGAGCGGCTTACCTGTCCCCTTCTGTGCTTCTTCTTGTTTGTGATTTCTTCAGTTCTGCTTTTTCTTGGGATCAGTTCTATAACGTGACGTCCTCTGCGAAAGCAACTCAATATTGAACCAGGCAAGATGGGAAGACATGGGTGGACATGGACAACGGAAAAA